TTCCAAGTAAGTACGGTTTGCGATTGACTAAACATATTAAGGATGAAGCCGGATAAGATTGAAGTACCAGTGGGGATCGGTCCGATTACAAACTAATTGGGAGAAGCTAATTCTAGGCCGGTAAATTGACAATCTGATTAAAACACGGATTCTTTTTCGTTTCGTCTTTTATAGTTCAAAATTTCGTTTTACTTGTCTTTACTACACTAGGATCTGGAAGAGTTGTTTTATTACCGGCGTTATTGCTTGAAGTGAGGGATTAGCCAATGAAACGGTCTGTTACGGCGAATTCTCGGCGTTTGATGGACGGAACTGTGGGTAAACCACTAGAAACGTCAACGTTGATTGATTAATCAGTGTCTGACGTCATAGGGTCAAAAGCCGCTCGTTTGACCCCTGGTTTGAACTCTCGCTATAACTTGTCAGATCTTCATGTAGTGTAGGCCATCGAAAGTATAAAAAAAACGAAACGAAAAGAGAGAGAAATGGGGTTTAACGTCCACTCGACACAAACTAGGTCATTTCGGGACTAACATATGGTTTGATTTTATTTCAATAATTCGCTTGCGCGTAGGGGTCTTTAGCAGTGGGAGGAAACCGGAGGACCCGGAGAAAACCCACGAGGCTGGACAGGCGACCCAACTCTTTGTCACCTACAACCGGGGATTCGAAACCACGCCAGTTGACTCAATGACAGGCCTTATGATACAGCACGCACGTGCTAACCATTCGCCCCCCCCCCCTACTATAAGGGATTCTTACATCTAGTTATTTACTAATAGTTGATATATTGTTTGTTTGGGGTTAGGGTAAGGATTGGTCTTCTTAGTCTAATTTACTGTGCCCTAACATGTCGTTCAGATATTTATTTTTAGAATATGCAATTATAGGTTTCTTTGTGATTTTCATGGAGATCAAGATAGTGTTTTCTGATTATTTTGGACGCACTTGCTGCTGATGCGCTAAATGGGACTACAAAGGGGGCTAGCTTTGTGAATATTCAAACCTAGGGAAGCTGTTGTTTTCAATTTGTCAATCCAGAATTTTTCTCTTGTTAGCCTAAACGTTTTAATTTCGTCTGGAGTTTCAAAGTCGATCTTAGTCTTTTCTATTGGCGTAACAATGAGGTCAGAAATGTCATGATTTGGTTGGTTGAAGTGATTTGAATCCGGTTTGTCTTTTATGGTAACTATCTCTGACCTGTGACCGTTATTTCTTTCCCTACGTACTGTTTTTCACATTGTCTACAGGAAATAGGGTAAATTATATTTGAAATGCTGCACGAAATGTAATGAAATGAAATGGGGTTTAGCGTCCTACTGTTCTCCTATTCTGGGCTAATGAAGACTGGCATATGCCATACAGTGGGCTATGAGGGAAATTTTGCCCCGGCAGCGGCACCATGGCCTACTCTTTTATCGAATTCCAACTGCCAAGGGATCTTTTACGTGCACGCCAATGTGTACACGTTACATCGGTTTTTCGTCTCATCCGAACGACTAGACAGCTGCCCTTGTCAGGCCCTCCGACCTGCACCACTGACAAGGGGAAACCACGTCGGAAAATCCCGATAAAATTTCTCGGCCAATGCAGGGATCGAACACCCGACCCCCAGGCTAGCGAGCCAGCGTCTTACCCACTTAGCCAAGGTGGCTCCCCACTGCAATAAGACTTCTCAAACATAATCACCATCAATGAAATTTGTGCCATTTAATTCAAACATCGAATGGAGCTCATGTGTACATTTATACGTACCTTCAATTTTACTCTTAAATCATGTTGGGGACCCATTGAATGTAAAACAAAGGATGTGTTACCACTCTGAATTCTGGGAAGGAGGAAGGGTGGAATTCAAGATGGCGTGCTAATCATGCTAGAAGAGTAAATTTGGGTTCTATACTTAGGGCACAATACTAGATCTTTGTACGATCTGAAAAATATCTTTCCCTAGGGTTAGGGTTCGGGTTAAGTTTATAAATTACACGTCAAACGTACAAATTGAAGCTGTAACAACGGTGGATTGTGGCTAAAACTATTCTGAAGGGTTAGGGTATAAACATCAAAGATATTTCTCATATCGGGAGGATCCAGTATCGTGCATACTTAGGTTTGTGTGGCCAATTAATCCATTAAAGTGTATGTTTTAATATTACAAATGAATACGATAACTCTGCTCACCGACAACCCAACCAATTTAAGTTTGTACTTAAAATTTCAGAAACGATGCATGAATTTGAGCTGCGCAGATGGAAAGATGTTAATAAATGGGTCCTGCCAGTCCATACTTCTAACAACCAATTCATACTTATTCACATTTTGTGTGGATTTCGTATACAAAGCCGATATGGGAGAAACCGAATACATCGAAGCTGAAGGATCGCTCTCTATTTATTCAGAAATCCTGCTCCCTAGTCTGAAATATTTTTTAACGAAATCCGCCGCATATTTTATGAGCCCATGTGGAGTCGAGTTGACCGCCATGATTCAAAATGAGTTGTTGTTGGCGTTGTCGAGCCCCGAAAATGTTGACGATGTCGTCCGAGAAACGTTAGAGAAACTGGAGTCATTTGTTGAGAAACAGAACACCAAAGGCTTACCGACTAAACTACTGAAACGTTGTACAAAAACTAAGCTTCAAGACCAAGGCTTGACAGAACCGTGCACCTTTAAAATGGATAACAGACGACAAAGGCCGATCAGACCGCAACAATATATTAATATTTATGTAAACAGCAAGCCGCTAACCGTATCTAAACTGTATCTCTGTGTCCAAGTCACATTGCCCAAATTGGAAGTTCAAGTTGCTGATGACGAAAGTATGCTAACCATATTGGCTACAAACAAAACCCTTCATGCTCTTCAGTTTGAAGAAATGGAGGACGGGTATAAAATATGCCTAGATGATTATATTGAAAGCGTAGATTATTCGTCTTACGCGCCGTGTGCGAAAACAGAAAGGCCCACATCTGGTGCCTCAAAATGTTCGGTTCTTTGCCATGGTATTGTTATACTATTATACCTAGTAATTTCAATATTTGAAGCAACATACCGACATGAGGTTTAGCCTTCTGATATTCCAGTTGTAAGTATATAGAGAATCTGCCTCGGGTCTGTTTTGATCAAAAAATATCAACACAAGTCGATAAAGTAAAAAAAAAAACGAGGCTTTACCGAGTTTTTTGGGGTTTTTTTAAACTTTATCGACCAGTGTTGATATATGAGTAGGAGATTTTATTTATCACCCAATCCTTTCTTACATGCACAACTAAATAAATATAATTCTTTGTCTTAGATTTCACTTTTACTGAACCTGATTATATTACGGCGTAGTGATACATCATTTTTTTGACAGCAAATCAACCATAGCGAATTCCTTTTTATATTGACCCAGTGTTTCCATCAAGGTCAATTAAATAAAAAAATAGTTCTTTTTAATAAAATAGAAATTACTTTGAAAATAAAAAAGTAGTTCCTTTTTAATTGACCGGTCCAATTCATGTAAATCGCAGTAGATTATGAAATTTATACAAGCGATATCTACTGTAGAATGTAGTATTGGGTGATAAACAAGTATATACTTGAAATTAAACGCGCACGGGCTATTAATATAAGCATTCGCGATCGCAAGGGCGACATTCACAGGTTCTCTGTCATGGTTTATCCTTAGATGTTGGCGTAGATGGTTTTTCGGCGGTATCTTATTCAAATATATCTGTTATCACCTTAAAATGTTCAGTTTAATAAATACAAACAGGTAATATGGAACACAATTGAAGAGCCCCAGGAAAGATCGATCTAAGTCACTTTTTGAACGAACCCTAGTTAATGGCGCCATCTGGTAGCAAATTGTATAAGCTTTCTGTACAACAATCAATTTCAGGTAAAAACGATCGGAGTCAAATCGAACCAAGGCCCTTCTGAAATGGCCTCCCGAACAAATACACAAGTCCATCGTATTTATTTGACCTTAATTTGGCTGAAAACTGGAAGTCAGTTGTTGTACTGGTAATTATGATTCGTATTAAACATCATTTTGAAGTTGTAATTAAACCCACTCGTTGTTCTGTTCATGTCAAGTGTTCTCTTCCAAAAGCCTATTTTGCCTTTTATGCGAAAAGACAAAAAAATGAATTAGATCGTTCTTCCCCTGGACTATTCAATTACTATTTTAATTAAAGCGATGTTCGCTGAGCGTTCGTTATCAAGTAAATGATGATCATAGGCGTACGGGGCCGAACTTGTTTGGGGGGGTATGGGGGTCCTCCCCCAGAAAATTTTGAAAACCAGACGGCCGTAGACGCGATTTCCAGGCATTTCGAATACTTTCTAGTAATTTGGAGTGGGTAGTAAATTATGTCAGTTGCAGCATAAAAACTGGTAAAATACAAGCTCTATTACTACGAAAACAAGAACAAGTCGAACGATTTACTTTTGCCACATTTTTCATTTTATGAGACTTCACATTTTTTATCCAGATCTCACTATTCACTGGGCTCGTCCGGTGCATTGAGTTGGATGCTAGTATACAGGAACACAGTACTCAAGAACTGAGAAAGGCCATGTGTACGTGCTAGTTCTATTCAGATTGCGTACGTGTTTATCATTGACTGGACTGCTTTCTTTCCGCGTCCATATTATTAAAAATATTCAAAACCCGACAGACGGCGCGACGCTTCCCGACAAACTGAGCATTCATTCCCGACAAAGCCATACCCATACCCCGCCATACCCCTACCCCCACCCCATTTTTAAAAACTCCTCGGCTAATGATCGATCTCACAATTCTGAGCTCTTTTCAGATTTCTATTTTTTTTCATGAAAATATTTGAGGGGGCCGGTGCCCTCCCGCCCCCCCCCCCCCCCGCCTCGTACGCCTATGATGATGGTGAATATATATTAATAATTTATACAGAAGGTTTATATACAAAAACAAATAACAACTAATTAACTTTTGAAGCAACTTTTACCGTTTCGTGTCAGTTTAAGGCAACCATAACAGTTTCGTGTCAATTTGGAGCAGTTTTTACAGTTTCGTGTTCGTGTCAAATAACTTTAACAGTTTAGTGTCAATTTAAAGCAACCATTACTGCTTCTTGTTTAAAGCAACTTTTTACAGTTTCGTGCCAGTTTAAAGCAACATGTACAGTTTCTCAAGTCAACTTAAAGCAACCATTACAGTGTAAACTATTTATTCCTGTAAAGTAAATTATTTATAACGCATATCTGAATGGTCCGGTATTTTCATATATGTGTAGTTGTTGATATTCTATGGTATTTGTGTTTGCTAAATAATCATAACGACCAGGAACTGGTATTTGTTGATTGTTGTTGACGACTGTAAGAAAAAAAAACAAAATTAGATACATTCACAAATAAGTTCATTTAAAGTTACAATTTCAAAACATAATTATTTCTATGTCTTTTGCTCAATAGGTTGTCAACTCACTATTATACGATCATAGGTTATCTTCCTTACACTTAAAAATCTTCACACCGGAAATAATAACACAATTACTTCCCTTGTTTTTCTACCCCCCCCCCCCCATGGAATAGCTATCTTCAAACGTTTGAATTTAAAGTTGAAAATGATATCTTTGCCAATTTCTCAACTGGCAATAGTGAATAATAGGATTATTCTTTAACAAGGCAGGACTGTTTATAGATACCATCTATTTTAAGGCTTTATTTTAATAAATTTTAAAAATATAACTTAAAAATATGAAATTGTAACTTTAAATCAGTGATTCTCAACCAGTATGCCGCGATACACAGGTGTGCCACGAGATCTTCCTAAGTGTGCCGCGAAATTTTGAACGGCACACCAAAAATATTTCTCACTAAAGAAGCCAGCTATTTGACTGATGAAATTCGAAGCACTGCAATAAAGTGAGTTCATAGCTGTGTTTTCCTTTATTTAGTTTGAGTCATTCTATGTGTCTATAACTAGTCTGTGTCTACGGTTGTATGCCGTCTATAACTTGAATTCGAAGAAATAAAATGAAATGGGGTTTAACGTCCTACTGTTTTGCTCCGAACTGGGCTAATGAAGACGGGCATACGCCATACAGTGTGCTATGAGGGAAATTTTGCCCGGACAGCGGCACTACGGCCTACTCTTATATCGAATTCCAACTGTCAAGGGATCTTTTACGTACACGGGACCTCGGTTTTTCGTCTCATCCGAATGACTAGACAGCTGTCCTTGTCAGGCCCTCCGTCCTGCATCACTGACAAGGGGGAACCACGCCGGAAAATCTGGATGAACTTTCTCGGCCAATGCAGGGATCGAACACCCGACCTCCAGGCTAGCGAGCCAGCGCCTTACCCACTTAGCCACCGTGATCCCCTGAATTCGAAGAATGCTCACCTTCGAGGGTATTCGTGTGTAGGAGTTTAGATGTGAAACAAACAAACTGAATTCGGAATCTCGAATAGGATTTGTTGCAATCAAACAGATTAACAGTTTTACAACGCTATAATTAACCTACAATAAACATTGTATGGTGCCGGTTTTAACAAATTCATCCAAACTCTTCCCGACCCTCACCTTAATCTATGGCGGGGGTGGGGGCGTTGTTGGGTGGCCGATTGGTTAGCGCGTGCGCGTCGCATCATAAGGTCTGTCATTGAGTCAATTGAGAGAGAGAGATGGGGTTTAACGTCCACTCGATACAAACTAGGTCATTTCGGGACAAACATGGTTCAATTTTATTTCAATAATTCGCTTGAACAACCGGGGAATCGAAACCACGCCATTTGACTCAATGACAGACCTTATGATACAGCGCTAACCATTCGACCATCCAACCCCACACTTGCAAATAAATCTGAGCATACCTGGTTGTTTCTTGGGTCGTTTGATAATAAAGATGGCGATGAATGTAACTGCTACGACGAGAAGAATACAACATACAACTGCTAGAGATACTATTACGGTGATATTTGCCCATGGATATTTTTGAGTTATTGTCAATGATTCTGTATCAGTAACACCACTATTAGTAGTTCCAGCCCTGGTCGTACTTTCCGTTAATCTTTCTCTGATCTCTACAAAACAACAATACAAGTATAAAACTACTGTTAAATTCCTATACTCACTCGAGTTAAAGATATTACTCGAATTTAGGAAATGAAACGAAACACTGAGAGAGACAGAGAGATAGAGAGAGAAAGAGAGAAAGAGCGCGCGGGCGAGAGAGGGTTTAACGTCTACAGTACTAACATATGGTTTAATTTTATTTCAATAATTCGGCTTGCGCGTAGGGAGGAAACCAGAAGACCCGAAGAATACCCACGAGGTTGGGCAGGCGACCCTGCTCCTTGTCACGTACAACCGGGGAATCGAAACCACGCCAGTTGACTCAATGACAGACCTTATGATGCAACCCGCACATGCTACCCATTCGGCCATCCACCCTCTATCGCCCCCTGAAATGAAACAGGGTTTAACATCCTACTGTTCTGCACTACGGCCTACTCTTATATCGAATTCTGTCACAGGTTCCTTCACATACGCGCCAATTTTTACACGGTAGCTCGGTTTTTTGTCCCATCCGAACGACTATACTTTGTTACTTGCCAGGGCCTCGGCCGCCCTGCACCACTGATTGGGGGAATTGGCGTGCACGTAAAAGATTCCTTGACAATTGGAATTTGATTTAAGAGTGGGCCGTAGTGCCGCTGTACAGGCAAAGTTTCCCTCGTAGTACACTGTATGGCGTATGCCCGTCTTCAATAGCCCAGTTCGGAGGAGCAGAACAGTAGGACGTTAAACCCCATTTCATATCGGGAAAAAAAATTCGTTAGGGACGTTTCTGCAATATATAAATTCGCAGTAGAATCTGAATTCCAATATGGTTATTCGAACCATCTCATCAAATTCGAAAACAAATGTTAAAATTGCCGAGTTTTTATGCACAGACATACTGATAGAATGACGGGAAGACAAAACTGGTGGCAAAATTTGAACTGTTAGATGTTGCTTTAATGATGGGGGGGGGGGGGCGAATGGTTAGCATACGGTCTGTCATTGAGTCAACTGGCGGGGTTTCGTTCGGTCGTACGTGCCTGTCCAACATCGTGGGTTTTCTCCGGGTCCTCCCACTGCTAAAACCCCTACGCGCAAGCGAATTATTCAAATAAAATTGAACCATGTGTTAGTCCCGAAATGACCTAGTTTGTGCCGAGTGGACGTTAAACTCTCTCTCTCTCTCTCTCTCTCTCTCTCTCTCTCTCTTTTAATGGAGACAGTTTTTATGGACGGATATACAGGCGGTCTTAGCGGACAGAACTGGTGGCAATGTACAGGAACAATAGGCGGACAAAACTGTTGGCAATATTCTTTCATACTAACTGTCAGCTGTTACTTTTATGGAGATCGTGCGTGATGACCAAGTGTTATCTGTTTCAGATGGTTGACAGTGCCATGGTGCTGTGCCAGTATCTTCAGCAGAGAGGATAATCAACTGGTGAGATAGTGTCTTGTTTCTATGGCTGGTTAGGATACAGCTGTAAGGATCCCATCTGTCTAATACACAAGGTGACTTGATGCAGGTTTTATCCTTAATGAAATACATCGTCCCGTATGTGGACCTGCATGTCAAACTGTATGAATCTCCTTGACTAACCACTGTTATATTGCTAGTAATATCTATAGAATTATCTGTAACATTGAAAACAGAAACCGGTTATTAAAGAAGCATTATGGGATATTAGATAAAGAGTTGGTTGTTCGCGGTATAATGGTTAAAAAATAATAGAATATGTTGAAAATATCAGAGAGAGATATAGAGAAATGGGGTTTAACGTCCACTCGACATAAACTAGGTCATTTCGGGACTAATATATGGTTCAACTTTATTTCAATAATTCGCTTGCGCGTAGCGGTCTTTAGCAGTGTGAGGAAACCGGAGGACCCGGAGAAAACCCACGAGGTTGGACAGGCGACCCTACTCCTTGTCACGTACAACCGGGGATTCGAAACCACGCCAGTTGACTCAATGACAGGCTTTATGATACAGCGCGCACGTGCTAACCATTCGGCCATCCAACCCTCCTGAAAATTTCAGTCAAATTGCTCCACTCCGAACCGAGATATTAACATTTGAATTTTAAGTCCATCCTCGATCATCATTACTAAAGTCTGTACGATAAAAAATATAGTCTCGATTATCCATTTTTGGATTTAATCATCAATGAGCGTTGAGCAGCAGATCGGATTCAAATCCAGTAAAATTTCGACACATAAGATGACATCGAGAGTTGATTATGGTCTGGATAAGTTAATTAATGTCTAATTAATAATTTAGGTAACATTTCAGGCCTAAAGAAAGACCTGCAATGGGCAGATTTAGCTCTTGCATAATGTATGTTTAAACAGGCTCACACCATTGCGTATCAAACGTGTTTGACACTGAAATGGCTATAAACTAACAGGGCCGAAAACTGAAGTTAAATCAGGGCGGGATTGAAGTCGGAGTGGAGGGGGGCTGCAGTCAGGGGCCCCAAAATTAGCTCTAAAAATATTCTGTACCACGAATAAATATGTCATTTATAATGCGGTATTAGGCTGGTAGGAGAACTTCGGACTTACACCAAGCTGGGGAAAAAATCCGGAACAAATGGTTATGGCTGTTTATGAAAGGTCTACATGTATATGAGTACTTCAGGAAAAAAATCCACCCAAATCGGTCTTAACCAAAAAAAGTTACAGGCGTTCTGGTTTTCGTACCCATCCGACTTATAAAATCCACAATTTTTCTATCTTTTTGTCACTTTTTAGGGCATGCTGAGAATATGTTTGTGCATCACACAAAATCAGTAAATTCCTGTGTTGGGAAATTCTAATTGTAAAGACGTCCATAACTGCCCCTGCCCAATCTGATTATAATACAGATCTATATTTCGTTTCGTTTTTTATACTTCCATGGCCTACACTACATGAAGATCTGACAAGTTATAGCGATTGGTCACGTCAGGGGTAAAAGACCGAAATATGACCTATGACGTCATACATTTGATTAACCAATCAGCATTGATGTTACTAGTGGATTACCCACAGTTCCGTGAAAAACACGCCTAAAGCTCGCCGTAACAGACCGTTTCATTGGCTTATCCCTGACACCATTCAGAACACGAGTTAAATAACAACTCTTCCAGATCCAAGAGTAGTAAAGACAGGTAAAACGAAATTTTGAACTATAAAAACGAAACGAAATAGGATCTGTGTTTTAACCAGATTGGCCCCTGCCCCAACCAAAAAGTTAAGCTTTACCATCTGCATGAAATTTGTTGCAAAATGTTCAGCTTTGTCACGTGCATCAAAAGTGACATTTTCAGTGGTGGGGTAAACTTGTCAAGCGTGCCTAATTGCCCCACTCCACCCCACTAGCTCATTCACTAAACCACACGAAACATTATCAAATACTACCTCATTATTGTGTGAAACTAACATAATACTTCAATTATGTTGGGTAGTATTGGGCAAACTTTCCGCCGTTACATCCACACGTTCCTAATTGTCCCACACCAAAAGCTAAGCCAGATGAAACAAATTCCTTATCGCACGAAACTTGTTGCAAATTGCTCAGCATATAAGAATGACATTATGGCCAGATTTTTTTCAATAGTGGAGTATCCCAGCCAGAAATCTAATTGCTCCACCTAAAAAGCTAATGTACATTACCACATGACAAACGTATAAAATGTCCCTGAAAACGAACGAATCTTTTGATGACCTTAATGATTCTGATCATGAACCTTTGACCGGCGAATCCAATTCTGATCCAGACGAGGACGCATACCAGTCTTTTTAGCTGCTCACTGACGACTGAATTACATTTATACAGAACATTTCAGACATTTTACAAGGGTCGTTTATTTTAAGGTTGGAAGCCATAACTAAATCGACCATTAAAAAAAATTGCCCAAGGTAGACTGCGGTGGATTTTTTCTTGGGGTACATACCTCCTTATAAAAAACCCCCCAAAAAATCATTTGTTTCGGGGTTTTTTCCACGGGTTGGGTGGACTTTCTCTCCCTCAGGCAGAAAAAAAACAAAAAAAAAAAACTTTGTACAGTACAGGTGCGACGGTACTTTAAACTTAGTATAATAGTATTATAAATAGGAGACTTACCAGTTATAGAAAATCTAAATAAGTTTATACAATAGCAGACACAGAATAACCAGCTGTAAGACGCCATCTTACTCCAGGATCAATCTGAACGAATGCGACGAACAACGAATAACGTCAAATTATAGTCAAAATATTATCTGACTTCATTTCCTTTTTTGATAGCAACAGGACTTACAAATTTCATTTTCGAGAAATCAAGTTGTTGATGGGTTTGATAAATTCAATTCGATAACAGTTTAAGTCCGATGTGTACCATATTAAGAATCGTGAAATCTAACATCCGTGGTTAAATCGTGTCTTCCTTCGCATTGGGTCCCACCCTGTACAGTCATACACATCATAGGCCGCGTGGTCAAACGCGTGTAATATGGAAATGAAATGGTGTTTAACGCCCTACTGTTCTGCTCCGACTGGGCTAATGAAGTCGTGCATAGGCCATACAGTGTGCTATGAGGAACATTTTGCCCGGACAGCGGCACTACGGCCTACTCTTATATCGAATTCCAACTGCCAGGGGATCTTTTACGTGCACGCCAATGTATACACGGGACCTCGGTTTTTCGTCCCATCCGAACAACTAGAAAGCTGCGATGAACTTTCCGTGTGACAGCTCCCTCTCGGGGCTATTTGAGGGATGGGGCTGGTCTATGTAGTTATTTGGGGCCCGCAAAGGCGTAGTAGCTACTAGAACGTCGAGTAAGCATGTTGAGCAAGTTGAAATGTGTCTGGTATGTTTTGTTTATTAATGCCTGTAACGGCAGTGTGAAGTTAGCTCGATTTTCGTTTTTCAATATTAGTGAATATCGAAAAAAAGAGTAGCTCATTTTTCGATTGGGCTCTTTCTCTTTGATTTTTTTATATTGGCAAATGTCGATAAACGCGCTACTCGTTTTTCGATATTCAAACTTGAATCTCAAAAAAAGCAGATTTGATGGACGTATATCTACAACCTGTCTCCCAAAAAGATTTGATTAAATAAGTTCTCTAAAACGAACTAAAGGCCTCCCCATTTATGATATCTTTAGATCATTTTAGAAACTTATTTAATCAAATGCGTTTTTGAGACATTCTGTAGATACACATATCCATCAAATCTGCTTTTTTGAGATTCAGATTTTAATATCGAAAAACGAGTAGCTCGTTTTTGTTATTCGCCAATATCGAAAAACGATCTACTTGTTTTTCAATCGCCAATATCGAAAAACGAAAATCGAGATATCTCCACACTGCGTCCTGTTACGTCCTTAAAATAAGTTAATATATATTATTATAGCTAATTAAACATGCCCAACCCAATTTCCGGAAATAACTTTCGCATAACTCAACTGCTTATATTATCGGTTATATTAATCAAGCGGTGAATTTCACCGACGTATCCGCCATGGCAGTGTATTCATAATAACACGTACTTTCTCGACCAACACGAAAATGGGATCTCGGAGAAGAATAAACGAAATTTGTTTTTCGTCAGATATGGGCATCCAAATCATCGTTTCCAGTTCGTATCTTTAAACAACAGAAAAGTGTCCTACATCTTATATACGGCGATGTAATTTTAAGGCCCTCTCGAACGAGCAGCCTCCGACAGGCCAAACCCTTAATCGTAAAATTAATCCCAAGGCCGAAGGTTCCAAACGAATAAGATCTTTATGTAAAAGGAACTAAGCGTAAAATTAATCCCAAAACGACAAGATTTTTATGTGACAGTGTTTCCGGGGTGTTGTGTCTGTCGGTAGCTAAATCCTGAAAGATAAAGTGGGAGTTGAAATATGTATATTTCTACAACAGTTAAAGGCTCAATACCACTCTTGTTGTAACTGAATAATATGTCCCAATCTTTATTCTGGTCAACAAATTGTACTATTTTAGAATATTTCAATTAATTGATGATACAAATTTCATCTTAACACACCTTATTTAAAAAATTTGAAAAATTCAACATAATGGTTTCAAACGTCTAACGTAAACCTTTTCAAATGAAACTTCGATTTAAAAATATTTTCGAACCCTCTGGACAAGTAAAATAGGATGTAATGGATAATTTACACAACAGGTAGGGCACTTAAACATCTAGTACTTAGATAGAGATATCATTTATTTTCTGGAGCTTTCAAGCCAGCAAGAGTGTTATTGTCCCTTTAAAAGCCTGTTCACCGAGAGAAAACAGATAAGCTATATTTGGCTTAATACTATCTTACAGTCCCAGACGTTTGTAATAATAATATCTTACAGTCCCAGACGTTTGTAATAATAATATCTTACAGTCCGAGACGTTTCTAATAATACTATCTTACAGTCCCAGACGTTTCTAATACTATCTTACAGTCTCAGACGTTTCTTATAATACTATCTTACAGTCCCAGACGTTTCTAATAATACTATCTTACAGTCTCAGACGTTTCTTATAATACTATCTTACAGTCCCAGACGTTTCTAATAATACTATCTTACAGTCCCAGACGTTTCTAATAATACTATCTTACAGTCCCAGACGTTTCTTATAATACTTTCTTACAGTCCCAGACGTTTCTAATAATACTATCTTACAGTCCCAGACGTTTCTTATAATACTTTCTTACAGTCCCGACGTTTCTAATAATATCTTACAGTCCCAGACGTTTGTCATAATACTATCTTACAGTCCCAGACGTTTCTTATAATACTTTCTTACAGTCCCATACGTTTCTAAAAGGCCTGGAAATAACGGTGTTACATGTACCTGACAAAATGTCAGGCACTAATGAAATAATACCTGACATTTTCACCTTAGTGCCGGACATGTATTAATAATATCAATAAAAAAGACAAATCGGTGCCGGACAAAATGACAGGCACCTGAGGTTTAGTGCCTGACAAAGCCTGCATCTGTGCCTGACATTGTCTGTGACAGGTGCCTTATTTCCAGGCTTGGTTTCTAATAATAATATCTTACAGTCCCAGACGTTTGTCATAATACTATCTTACAGTCCCAGACGTTTGTAATAATAATATCTTACAGTCCCAGAATTTTTTCTTAACTTTAAAGATACATTATGTAAAAATTAGATAAAGCGTTGACCTTTCTTTCTATAATACATGTAGTTCAAAAATAGATAATGTAAAATGAAAATATTGAAAATTTCATTCAAAATACTTCATTCTGAGCCAAGTTATCACTGTTTGTACTTTTGACAAGATGTGTGCATTCCCATTTTTAAATGGCGAACTGTTCTAATCTAGTTAAAATCTTGAGTATCCAATGACATCGAGAGTTGATAATGGTCTTGTCATGTTAATAAATGCCAAAAGTTAATAATTTAGAAAACATTTCTTATCTGTAATAGGCAGATTTAGGTCTTGTGTAATGCCTGACTTGAGTTCCCACCTCTGAATTACACTGTAGATCTCTCGATGTCTACAACCCATGCCACACCACTGATTTCTCAGCAACATTTTTTTAATGAAATACAACAAAACCCCACAAATCATTCCATAATAATTTAATTTCAATATATATATATATATTTTTATTACTGGCACATCACTCGACTTTCAATAAACATATATTACATGTATATAAATACTCTTATCATATTATTTACAAGATAAAATAACTATATATATACTATTATTTGATTATATTTCTAAAGCAATGGTTTCATTCAAGCCCTTCGTCCTGCACCACTGGCAAGGGGAAACCATGTTGGAGAGAGAGAGATAAATGGGGTTTAATGTCCACACGACACAAACTATGTCATTTCAGGACTAACACGTGGTTCAATTTTACTTCAATAATTCTCTTGCAAGTAGGGTTCTTTAGCAGTGGGAGGAAACCTGAGGACCTGCAGAAAACCCACAAGGTTGAACAGGCCACCCTACTCCTTGTCACCTACAAACAGGGAATCCAAACCCCGCTAGATGACCCAATGACAGAGAGAGAGAGAGAGAGAGAGAGAGAGGGGAGAGAGAGAGAGATGGGGTTTAACTCCACTCGACACAAACTAGGTAATTTCGGGACTAACATATGGTTCAATTTTATTTCAATAATTCACTTGATATCACGGAAATTCATCTTCTACAGAAATCACACACAATAGTGACATTTTTTATATCAAATATTCATTCTTGTTAAGGCTAGGTTCCCACTGGTGATGCTGTCAGGTTTTATCATATATTGAGGTCAGTCGTGGCAATCGTGTCAATCGTATCTTCACGTACCAGATCATGGACTCAATAGGGACAATCAGAGATGGGATTTCGACCATATATTCCGGACATGTTCGACGCTATTTTCCAAATGTCCTAAATTGTCTGACCAGGAATATGCCCAATCGGACATCAAGACATGGTGAATAATATTCAAAATTCCAAAATTAATATAGTGTACTGAGTGTATAACTAGCATTCAACCCAATTATCGTTGATAATAGACAGGATTGATTAGTTAATTAAGTGATTGACGTATTTATCATGTTATATGGTCTATACACCTACCTTGATTAACTACTTAAACTGGCTTGAATGGCTGACTTAATCCTTTGTCGGACAATCCTATCTATAAACATCGCATGACAGTGTGAACCTAGCATTATAACAACTATAGGTGTATGTTAGTTATACACCAAGGATTCACTATAACCTTGTTGATGCCCATGTTCCCAACCAGTCACAAACTGAAATCGCTGTCATATTTACACTAAATATTGAGTCATTTTTATAACAACTATGTTATAGGCTTCACTATAACGTTGTTTATGTCCATGTTGCCAACCAGCCACAAACTAAAGAGAGAGCGAGAGAAATGGGGTTTAACATCCACTCGACACAAACCAGGTCATTTCGGGACTAACATATGGTTCAATTTTATTTCCATAATTCTCTTGCTCATAGGGGTCTTTAGCAGTGGGAGGAAACCGGACCACAAACTAAAACTCAATCTCTGAAATGGCACAATAGTGACGACTCACTGGATTATTTACATTAAATATTCCGTCTTTTTTATACACTAAGCCTTCACTATAACCTTGTTGTCAACCAGCCATATACTGAAACTTATCCTCTTCTGAAATCGCACAATACTGACATCTCTCTGTATTTTTATTTACATCAGTCCTGTTTACAGCAACTAAATCCTTGTTTCATCTATTGGTGATTCTATACCGGTATCTTCAAACAGTTTAACTATATCATCATGCTGAAAATCTCGAGCTATCTCTAGTGGGGTTAAATCTCCCATCTTCAGTTGTGTATTGGCTCCAGCTTTTATTAACAGTTCAACAACCTTTACATGACCTGTCAACATACAAAATGAAATGAAATGGGGTTTAACATCCTACTGTTCTGCACTGCCTGGGTTAATGGACACGGGCATACATGTGTGCTATGATGAAATAAAATTTTCCCGGACAGCAGCACTATGACTCGTACTCTTATTTCGAATTCAACTGACTGTCATGGATTCTTTTATGGTGTTATTCACCTACCTTAATTTATTAAAGATACATTATGGGAGATTAGATAAAGAGCTGGCAGTTCTCACTATAATAGTTAAAAACTAGATAATGTAAAGGCAATTTACTGAAAATTTCAGTCAAATTGATCCACTCTGAACCAAGATTTTAGCAATTGAATTTTCGGTCTAGTCTTGATCATCATTACGATAAAAAAACATAGTCACGATTATCCATTTCATGATTAAATTATGAATGGAAGTCGAACAGCTAATCAGAACCTAATCCAATAAACATCGCAGGCTTGCGATGACATTGAGAGTTGATTATGGTCTGGATATGTTAATTAATGTCTAATCAATAATTTAGATAACATTTCAGACCTAAAGAAAGACCTACAATAGGCAGATTTAATAGCTCTTACATAATGTATGTTTGACTACTTAATCTGCCTTGTTAAATTGACTTGTTAAATACTGATCATGAATATAAATACACTGATACAGGCCTAAATAATGATAAATTGTTTCAATGGTATTTAGTAATTGAAGTGGAATATACAGGTCACAAGTCTATTGCTGCTTATTACTGAGCGATGTCTTCACTAGGTTTCTCTACAGGGGTGTGGTGACCCAGGATTTTGCAAGAGGACCAAGATCCCGCCTGCCCCCCCCCCAAAAAAAACAAGATTTATATATGTGTGCGGGGTGGGGAGGAGGAGTGTCCATCCCAGTGCCACCGGGTAATATTGGGCTCTGTGGAACATGCTAGAGTCGATTTGTAGCATATCTGACCCAAGGTATATGTTTGACATTGGTTAAGCATTATGATAATGATTAATAATGTTGAAAACCGCATTGAAACCGGGCCACTCTTTACCAATTGTGAGGGGGCACAAAAACTCAAGGTGGCACGAAAACTCAAAACTCACTTAGCCCCTGCTTCCCTAGTCAGTATCTATGTTGCTCAGTAATAAGCAGTAATTGTATTCCATAGAATTGTGACCTGTATACTCTAGTTCAATTACTTAATGCCATTGAAACAGTTTGTTAAATATGCTCTAAGCTTTAATGTGGTTTTATGTCCTACTTGAATCTGGGCCCTGTTTCTCGAAATCTTAACTAAAGATAAAATCCAAATTTTAGTAGAGACTTCAATTTTGATTGGCTAAGCACTAAAATCAATCTAATATTATCCAATCAAATTACTAAAATTTGGATTTTATCTTCGTTAAAATTACGTGAAACATGCTCCAGATTAATAAAGACTGTGATAAATGTACTCACCATGCATGACAGCTAGATGTAATGGTGTGGTATTTTCACATTGTTTATTTACTGGATCTATGTCTAAAGTAGAACATGTGATTAATTCTGCTACCAGTTTACTATAACCATTATTAGCTGCAGCATGTAAGGTAGTGTTACCTGTATCACATGCCACATTAACATCTATTCTTGGCTTTACCTGTAAATTTAAATTATTTCAAAAGTTTATATCTTTAGAATGTTCTGATTAACGGAATTACATTCGAGTGACATTAATATTGTCACAGGAAATTTTAACGGCATTATTTTAGACCCCAAGGAAAAGTAGTGCCATTGAATATAACAGAGGAGGATTTCAAATCGTCCAACGGGTTTTCTTTGGGTCCTCTGCTAAAGACCCCTACATGCAAGCGAATTATTGAAATAAATTTGAACCTTATGTTAGTCCCAAAATGATATAATTTGTGTCAAGTGGACGTAAAAACACCTCTCTCTCTCCCTCCCTCTCTCTCTCTCTCTCTCACTGAGCCACTGTGGCTCCCATATGATCTAAGGCACACTCTATAAATCAACCCTACCTATGCCTAAATCAACTTACCCTATGTAGAAGATATTTAACAGCTGATGGTTGATTGTTCATTACAGCCGTGAAGATCCACGTTCTATTATGACTATCTATCTGGTGAGGATTCACATGGCCATTAACTATTAAATAATGCATCACATCAATATAACCACACCTGAAATATATAATGCAATCACAGGTACTAGCCTGAAGGTCGGGTGACCCATCCCAGCATTGGTCGAGAAAGTTAATCGGGTTTTTCCGATGTGGTTTCCCCTTGTCGGTGGTGCAGGACGGAGGGTCTGACAAGGACAGGTGTCTAGTCATTTGGATGGGATGAAAAACCGAAGTCCTGTGTACACATTGGCATGCCCGTAAAATGGGGGTTTAATGTCATACTGTTCTGTACCGACTGGGCTAATGAAGTCTGGCATACAGTGTGCTATGATAAACTCTGCCAGTCTTATTTACCTTGCCTGATAAACTCCCCAATTTATATATCACATTATTTGATAAACTCCCCCAGCTTATTTCCTGATAAACTCCCCCAACTTATTGCCTGATAAACTCCCCCAACTTACTGCCTGATAAACTCCCCCAGCTTATTTCCTGATAAACTCCCCCAACTTACTGCCTGATAAACTCCCCCAACTTATTACTTGATAAACTCCCCCAAACTTTTTGCCTGGTAAAATCTCTGAACTTATGGCCTGGTGAACTCACCCAACTTACTGTCGGGTAAAATCTCCGAACTTATTGCCTGATAATTTCGCCCAACTTATTGCCTGATAAAACTCCCCCTTTTTATTTCCTGATAAACTCCCCCAACTTATTGTCTGATAAACTCCCCCAACTTATTGCCTGATAAACTCCCCCAGTATATTGCCTGATAAACTCCCCCAACTTATTACTTGATAAACTCCCCCAACTTATTTCCAGATAAACTCCCCCAACTTATTGCCTGATAAACTCCCCCAACTTATTGCCTGATAAACTCCCCCAACTTACTGCCTGATAAACTCCCCCCAACTTACTCTTACTGTCTGATAAACTCCCCCAACTTATTGCCTAATAAACTCACCCGACTTATTGCCTAATAAACTCCCTCAACTTATTGCCTAATACCCCCCCCCACCAACTTATTGCCTGATAAAATCTCCCAACTTATATATTTACCTTATTGCCTGATAAAATCGTTGCTGATGAACACCCTGTTGTGACACGCTGGAAGGAAGTGGCACACATTTCAACATCTTGTGTTGACCTTTCAGGTTACGATAAAAGTTTGTGATAGCCGACCAGACATTGACCAGGGTAAATGATCGAATAGCTAACAGCCACTGTGCATATTGTCTGTTTTTAGTTGAACAACGGACATCGGATAATAATTTCTTGTAAAGATCTTTGCGTTCTGATGACATGATATCTAGATAATCCAACAACATGTGCGAACCTTTAGAACTGAGTAACTTGGCAGGATATTCCCTGTATAATGCTGATACAAGATCAAGAACATCGCGATTCGTTATCTGACGAGACTCGATGCCGACAGAAAATGCTAAGCCAATCTCCTCAGTTAGAATACTAAATTCTAATTCATAAATGTCTTGCTTTTGGACATCTGGAAATTCTGATAACCAAAAATGTCCAAATTGAACAAAATTATCTTCGGCGTTATAAAATTTAGCTAAATGTTCCACAGAATCATTAGCTCTGGTTAACCAGCCCGATACTATACTTGCGTCCATAAAACACATCATGTGATCAAAGTTAACCTTTTTATTGGCCACGTTTAACTTTTCTCTGACGCTAAATCGTGACATTGTCTCTGGATTAGATGAAACAGGAGGAAGGGGTTCAGTCCTTTGTAATTCATGTCTGGTTGGATATGTCTGTAATTTCTTTCTACGTTTCTTTTTAGAACCGGGTTTGGATCCTGTAGGAGTTTTATTTTTTGGTTCTGTAGGAGATTCTGTTGTCAGGAAACCAGAATCAGGGGAGGCAACTCTAATCGGTTCTTCTTCTTTCTTGGTTGGTGTGTCGGATCCACTACTTGTCAAAGATAGTTGATCAAAATCTTTAGGAGTTAGCTCCCCTTCGTCACTCTCAAAATCCTCTGTATCACTGTCTCGATATGTCAGTCTTGACACGCATATTAAATCGCGTAAATCCCGGACACCTCTACTCATTATGAAGTTATTAATACTGCTTCTGGCTTCGTAAAATAATTAATGTCACATCGATGAAATTAACTAATGACTAATTTTTGGATCACAACTAAATCTCAATTCCATTCATTTAGGATTCCAGTTTTACATCTTTTGATCACAAAATTCAAACCACGACACATCAATTCCTTTAATCATATTCCCCAAATGCTCATGTTAAATCTGTATTTCTACGCGGACTCTGATATCGAGTGCTAGAAACGTTACTGTAATCAGACTTGGCAAACGAAGACGAGTCCTCCACGCAAATTGAAAGAAAAACAACAAGATGGATGTTAGCTTGTTTGCAAACAACGGATACCAATTTTCATATGGAATAATTTCAGACATCACATAGATTTTAATTTTTTTGTTTTTCAACTAATAATAAAACTCAATTGCAAAATTTAATAATCAAATGCTATCGGTCTGGTTATAAATCAATTAATTTAAGATTTTTCCCATCTTTTCTAAATTTGCTGGAATAAAATAAAGACACCTTCTTCTTCAGTAAAGTTTCACTTCAGCGTATAAGATTATCGTCTAATGATAGTTTTTCTTTGTTGTATTCTTTTCTTAACAATGGTATCATCATTTGTTAATTGACTTTCTCTGTGGGCGTTATTTAAATAAATAAATCAACACAACAAGATGAAAAGGTAACAAACACAAGTGTTGAGAACTGGTGATATGCCAGCTGAAAGAAGAACATCAAAGTTGGTTTAAATAAGCTAACTTTCGTTAACATCTTGATTTATCTGAAAAATATAATTAAAGATACATTATTGGAGATTAGATAAAGAGCTGACTGTTTTTGCTATAATAGTTAAAAAAAACAGATAACGTAAATAGAAGATGTTGAAAATTTCAGTCAACTTGCTCCACTGTGAACCGAGATATTAGCTTTTGAATTTTAAGCCTAGCCTTGAATATAATTACAAAAGTCAGTACGATAAAAAACATAGTCTTGATTATCCATTTATGGATTTAATCATCAATGAGCGTTGAGCAGCAGATCAGATTCAAATCCAGTGAAAATATGACACATAAGATGACATCGAGAGTCGATTATGGTTTGGATAAGTTAATTAATGTCTAAAGAAAGACCTGCACCTCTTGCATAATGTATGTTTAAAATAGATATTTCCTACATACATGCATAATCTATTGACACAGACAAAAGAGAGAGAGAGAGACTAGGCCATTTCGGGACTAACATATGGTTTAATATGCTAACCATCCGGCCATCCAACCCCCCTGACACAGACAAATGGTATGACAAAACAAGGTAGTGATATACATGTAAGGCTTTTAGAAGATCCCAGCTCATCTGTCATGAATCACTCCTGTTGTAATTCGGCCATAACTAAACTGCATTACACCTTTTCTCAAAACAATGATACCATTTATGTTAGCTCTTTTATATTTCTCATAATAAATGTAAGCAAATTCGATTTAATTGAGTACTTTGGTATTGTGAATATCATTTCCAAGAAACTACAAGCTTGAATGAGAAAAGCGAGTTTGCAATGGTAAATTAATACTAATAGCCTCAAATTGTTGCTAAAAACAAACACATTCGACAGACCAAGTCCAGACTTCGCATCTGCAGGAGTTCAGCATAAATGAAATATCCAGTCAGTAATTAACTCGTCTACAAATGATCTGCTTCTCAGAAACTATACTTTACTGTAGTAATAACATCTTTTTGATTCGATTGAGTTAATTATGTCTAAAATCAGATGCAAACATTGCGTCACACCCAGATTTACAAACAAAATTTCTGATGAAATTATTTAAAACAAAATCAAAAGCTAAATTTCCCAACTAATTCATTCTTAGTAAAAATCTTACGTTTTCCACGATCTGTAATACACGTTTATAAATAACACTCTAATTAAAAAGTTCTGGAATATAATCAAATCAGTAATTTTGCGAAGTTTCAATTACCCTGGCGTGTTTTTATCAACAAATACGCCATTGCTCTGTTAACGACAACAATATTATGTAATATCATTAACGATTGGCTGTAAGTGAAAGATCAGCCAATAAAAATTGAGATAAGATATATCATGAGTAAAACTGATCTTTTATAACCGAGAGTTCTTCTTCCGTAAACAACGCCACGCCCCTTTTAATACCGTTTGCTGAAGCTAAAGAAAAGGTGTCAATTTTCAGTCGGACAATTTCACTGCTACAACTATGGAAATTTCTTTCAAAGGAAAGCGGGCACTTGTTACAGGTGGCAGTCGAGGTAATAAATGCGCCAAACAGGATTGTTAAATTTCAATACCGCCATAAAACAAAACAGCGATATTGCAAAATTGAAAACAAAAAGATGTACTACTATGCAAGGACAGCGAAGCTCTTGACATTGACACACATACCTATAAAAATATGCCCTTAAACAATATAATGACCTTCATCTCTAGATATTGCATCTTAATCTAGGAGAAGGATGTGGGGGGGGAGGTCTAGTGGTTTAACACATGCACGTAAAATTACAAGGTCTGTCATTGACCCATGGCATGAATTGATTCCCCACTTGTACGTGACAAGGAATAGGGTCGTCTGGGTTTTGTCCTGATACTCCTGTTTCGTCCCATTGGTCAAGCCCTGTACGCGGAAGCAAATTATTGAAATAAGATTGAACCATATATCAGGCCCGAAATGACTTAGTTTGTGTTGAGTGGATGTTAAACCCCCTCTCTCTCTATATATATAGTTTGGTAGCACGGGTGAACTCTACCCCCTCTTTTTTTGCTGTTTGTCAGCAAGCAAGGGAAGTACTCACACTTGCGTCCAGGGTTCAATCCCGAATGTGTTGGTAGAGACAGTTCCTCAGGATTTTTCAGCTTGGTTTCCCCTTAATTGTCAGTGATGCTGGACAGAGGGCCTGTCTAGAACATTGTTGAATCCTTCTGATAAGACAACAAACTAGGTCCTGTGTATGTGTTTGCTCAAATATAAAAAACAATTAGCAATTAGGATTCGATGAAGAATAGACGACAACTGTCAATTTCTAAGCAAAATTTCTGTCATAGTCTCATAGTACACTGCATGGCATATGCCCATTTCATTCCATTCGTTTTTGCTGTGGTCAAATGCTTTGTTGCCTTACAGAGAGAGAGAAATGGGGTTTAACATTCACTTGACACAACCTAGGTCATTTCGGGACTAAATTTTGGTTCAATTTTATTTCAATAGTTCGCTTGAACAGTGGGAGGAAACCAGAGGATCCAGAGAAAACCCACGAGGTTGGACAGACGACCCTACTCCTTGTCACGTACAACCGTTGAATCGAAACCACACCAGTTGACTCAATGTTTTAAAGTTGCCTTACAGCATATTTTTTCTATTATTACAGGTATTGGTAGAGCTATCAGTGTTGCTCTAGCTAAAGGTGGAGCAGAAACAATTGCCCTAGGAAGTTCCCAAACTCATCTAGACTCATTAAAAGCTGAGGTAAACTGGATATATGTTTTATTGCTAAGTAATTGCATGAAACTTAAAAATACATTATGTAAGATTTAGATAAAGAGCTGACCATTCTTACTATAATAGCTCAAAAATAGATAATGTAAAATGAAAATATAGAAACTTTCATTCAAATTACATGCACTTCCTTCTTAGCCATGTTATCATTGTTTGTTGTTTTGACAAGATGTTTGTGTATTGTAACCAGGGCACTGGTATATTTGAGACTTATCCTCGCTTTCCCATTTTTAAATTAAATTTTTAAATGACAAACTGTTTTAATCTAGTTAAAATCTTGAGTATCCGATGCCATTGAGAGTTGATTATGGTCTTGTTTTGTTAATAAATGTCTAATTAATAATTTAGATAACATTTCAGGCCTAAAAAAAGACCTGCAATAGGCAGATTTAGGTCTTGCATAATGTATGTTTAAGGACTTAGGCATTTAACCATTAATTTCTTGTTTTTATTTAGCCAATGTAAAAAGAAAGCTTTCTTTACACCAGGACTGTATATCACCTTGGTGGTTTGGGGCATATCCACTGAAACTTTTCTCACTTAGTTACCTCCCTTTAGTCTCCAGATATCAGTTGTCAATTTGTTTTGGATTGTAAAGAATCCAAATTATGTTTGTTTGCTCATGTTATCAACACCAAACTTAAATTTAGAATTATTCTCACTCCAAGAATTTGTTTTGAGTGTTTTTTTGACCCTGCATCATAAATTTGGAACTGCGTGAAATTCACAAATATATTAGAACTTAGAAGAGGTATCAGGTATTTTAGAATGCACGATTAGGATACACTGTTTCATATATATACACCGGTTCACATATAAACACTTTCCGAAAAAAATTTCCCTCATAGCACACTGTATGACGTACGGTATGCCCGTCTTCATTAGCCCAGTCAGAGCAGAACAGTAGGACATTAAACCCCGTTTTATTTCATTTCGTTTCATTTACTGATTTTGATTTTAGGTACCAGATATAAAAACATGTACAGTAGATTTAAGTGACTGGGATGCTACCAGATCAGCAATAGAAGGTTTGGGTAATATTGACTTATTAGTTAATAATGCTGGTGTATCCAGACTTGGCTCTTTCATCGATGTTAAACCAGAAGATTTTGATTTGTAAGTTAAAAGTTTTGTTACATTACTTTTCTTAGATCTACAGCAGCTTTTTATATTATGTTGTCACCCGTCTATCGGTCTGTCACTAATTGGTTTGTAAACATGATAGAGGATACAGTTTTTTATAGATTTTTATCAAATTTGCTTTGAAGCCTAATGACATTGATCATTCAGCGACATTTTGTTCAGGAATTACCCCCCTTTTTTTCAGAAAATCATCTTAAAGCAAGATAGGGTGATAATGTCAGGAGAGCACGAAGCCTAACTGTATCATAAAGCCTGTCATTGAGTCAACTGGCATGGTTTCGAATCCCCGGTTGTATGTGACAAGGAGTAGGGTCGCCTGTCCAACCCGTGGGTTTTCTCCGGGTCCTCCGGTTTCCTCCCACTGCTAAAGACCCCTACGCGCAAGCGAATTATTAAAATAAAATTAAACGATATGTTAGTCCCAAAATGACCTAGTTTGTGTCGAGTGGACGTTAAATCCCATTTCTCTCTCTCTCTCTCTTGGTGAATACTGGGACCGAACCTGGAACCTCCTGTTAGGGAATCAGTGCCATACTCGCTGTGCCACCATGGTTTACCCCTTATTGGAAGCTGCTTTAAATAAAGGCAGATCACTATTAAATTTCACCATCTAGATATCCAAAATTGTAGTCTCTCTCTCTCTCTCTCTCTCTCTCTCTCTGCTTGATTTTTTGGTATAGAATGGAAGAAAAGGGTTTAAATTAACATTTTCTGCCAGGTCTTGGTAAATATTCATGATTTAGAGGCGCAAGGATAACAGGTTGGTTACCGTGGATAGTTACATGATTTTAGTATATGCTACTTCAAGTTTGTATATCTAAAAATTTTATTGGGCAACCTCATACAAAATCTGGAACAAAGACATGGCCATTTGTTGCTCTGTCTGTAATGAAAAGCATTCAGCCCAATGAAAATTTGAGGAAAGGTTTGAGCCAGGCAAAGAGGCCATAATTAACATTAAAGTCAATGAAATCAAATTTTAAATATGGATTATCCCCCTTTGAACATCAAATCTGAAACTATGAGGATGCTCGATTATCAGTCCAGAACGTTCTGAATTGACTGAATTGCAATCGAGTGACACAGGATTCAGGTGACAGTTCTGTCACTCCCGACAACGGAGGCAGTGAGAGTAGAAACGTGACAAAATTAAACCTAACGAATATGTTTCAGCTGTCATGGTTGGTCGAGATATTTTCTTATCCAGTCAGCGCATGCGTTCTAGCCTGAAATCCCATTTTCACTTGATTGTCACTAATTTTGGGGTTTGACAGAATTCAAATCCGGTTCGTTCAGTCAAACATCCCCAATGAATTCACACTTATATTTTAATTAGTAATGATGATCGAGACCAGGCGGAAATTTCAATCGTTTAGTTCTTGGTTCATAGTGGATTAATTTGAATGAAATTTTCAGCAAATTGCCTTTACATTATCTAGTTTTTAACTATTATAGTGAGAACTGCCAACTCGTTATCAATTCTCCCATAATGTTTGTTTAATTGTGTTTGTATTTTACTGTATCATGAATGTAAATATGGATTATCCCCCTTTGACCATCAAATGTGAAACTAGCATCTGTGTTTGTGTTTTACAGTATCATGAATGTAAATGTTAAAGCTGTTATTAATGTATCTCAGGTATGTTACTTTTAATTAACAAGGTTTGATTTGTCACAGAAGGGCGGGGTTGGATGGCCAAATGGTTAGCGTGTGCACGTTGTATCATAAGGTCTGTCATTGAGTCAACTGCTGTGGTTTCAAATCCCTGGTTGTATGTGACATGGAGTAGGGTCGCCTGTCCAATCTTGTGGGTTTTCTCCGGGTCCTCCGGTTTCCTCCCACTGCTAAAGACTCCTACGCACAAGCGAATTATTGAAATAAAATTGAACCACGTGTTAGTCCCGAAATGACCTAGTTTATGTCGAGTGGATGTTAAACCCCATTTCTCTCTCTCTCTCTTTGTCACGGAAATGAAGGTTTCTCCCCAAATTACTGGTATAAAATGTATTTTAAGATAGAATTTATGAAAAACATATTTGCACATTTATTCTCCTAAACTGGCCTATAAATAAATGTTTAGTTGTACTTGAGAGTTTTAACTCTAAAATATACAAACATAGCGGAAAAAATCTGTGCCTTCCTTACAAGTAATTTGATACCTTTTATTTTTCAGGTGGTCGTTAAGGGTATGTTAGCAACCGGTAAAGGAGGTGCCATCGTCAATGTCTCCAGTCTCGCGTCAACATTAGCACTTAAAGAACATACAAACTACTGTGCTTCTAAAGGTGCTCTGGACATGATGACAAAAGTTATGGCTCTTGAATTGGGTCCCACGGTATGGAAATATTATCTTTTATTCCTTTATTTATATAGATGTATTTTCTTGTTCCCTATGTCAGTCATTCGTCAGTTTATCTTTCCATCCAGAATTTGTTTGTCGACATTTTACTGGTCAATGATCTTGTCAATGGAGCAGGACGGAGTGCCTGGCAATGAACAGCAATAAGTCATTTGGATGCAAAGAAAAGAATCTTTGGCAGTTGAAATTCGATGATGATTAGGTACAACAAGCCCCACTATCTGGGCAAAATTCCCTCATAGCACACTACATGGTGTATGCCAATTTGTTTTAGACATTCTACAGGTCAGTGTTTTTGTCAGTGGAGTAGGATGGATGGTTTGGCAATGAACGGCAGTTAGTCATTTGGATGCGACGAAAAGAACCCTTGGCTGTTGAAATTCGATTAAGATTAGGTACAACAAAGAGAGAGAGAGAAATGCGGTTAAACGTCCACTCGACACAAATTAGGTCATTTTGGGACTAACATTTTTCAATATGGGATCCTACTATCTAATATTTCAGACATTTTAAAATCCGAACACGAATTTTGTATTTTGTGTGGTTTTGGGCGCCATTTGTAATGAACAAAGAAAAACACCCTACAAGACGATGCAGAAGTAATTATTAATGGATGATGCAGAAACGACAAAATAATAATTAAAAAATGCATAGAATGGACTAAGCAGGCGTAAACGACTGCCGTTCAGTTTGGACTGATCACATATTTCACTAGGCAAATGAAGAAGGGCATATGCTATGCAGAGTACTATAGGGTAAAGTTTGCCGAGAGAGCTGCGTTACCAATTAACCTCATTAAATTACAATTGCCGAGGTACAGACATGCCAACGTGTACATGGGACCTCGGTTTTACACCCTATCAATCCGCCACCAATGATAAGGGGGAAACTACACTGGAAAATCCTGAGGGACTTTCTCTACCAACTTTGAGATCGAACTCCCAGACCTTCTGGCTGGCGTGTCACCACCTCCACCTCACACACCAAGCTTCTGCTTTTAAAGAATCAAGATTTGCAAATAGCCATTTTATTATACAGACTTTATATAAAGACAAACAAATTTGCATTGTGCGTTTCACCAATTTAAAAAAGAAAAACTTAAATTCATTGTCATATAGGTCATTGCATTGAACACATAGATACACATGAAACTTAGCAAATAATATTATATAAATACAAACGGCATGTGACACATAAAGAAATGTACAATACAAATACTGTTTATTAAAGATACATTATGCAAGAGCTAAATCTGCCTATTGCAGGCCTTTCTTTAGGCCTGAAATGTTATCTAAATTATTAATTAGACATTAATTAACTTGTCCAGACAATAATCAACTCTCTAGACCATAGGATTTCTCCGATATTAAATAGATTACAACAGTTCAGCCATATTTTGATTTGAGCTAAAAATTGAGGAGCGAGAGAGTTGGCTTCGAACGACCAGTACGGTGTTTGAAATTATTGCACACGTCTTGTCAAACCTTCAAAGGCTAATATCTTCGCTCGCAATAAAGTAATTTGAATGAAATTTTCAAATTATTCATTTTTCATTATCTATTTTTGAACTATTTTCAAAAATAGATAATGAAAAATGAATATATTGAAACATGTCATTTAAATCCATTATTCTGGGTGTTTATTATTGTAGCAACCGTACTTGACAACCAAGACTAAGTGTGGATTATCCATGTATTTAGTTCAATTTTAAATTTTTTTTGTTAAATTTTAAAAAAATTTTGTTAAATTTTTAAAAAAATTTGTTAAATTTTAAAAAAAATTTGTTAAATTTTTAAAAAATTTTGTTAAATTTTAAAAACTTTTTGTTAAATTTTAAAATCTTTTTGTTAAATTTTAAATTCTTTCTGCTGTTCAAATCCATTTAAATCTCGGCCATTCGATAGTCTAGAGAGTTGAAAAATCTTGATTGCTCCAATTTTCAAACCTCGGTATAAAACACTGGAATCACTCGTGTAGCTTCATAGATATTATTTTTGTCTTGTTTACATTCTAATTAACCAGGAAACAACATTTATTGTCATTTGTAATTTTTTTCCATAAAAATAAAAACAATGAAAAAATGCCAAAAAGTCACATTTTGTTCGACCTTTTTTATTCTTTATATATTTTTTTTTCATTTTTTTTCTCATCAATTCCAACATAAATGGAGGGTAGCCCTTTAACTTTTCGAAATTACAAGAATCACCCTGATATATATACAAGTCCAGTTTTAGTCTACTGTATTCATCAGTGTAGTTTTTATTTTACAGTTATAGAAATATACGTGGGAAATAAGAATTTATAGGAAATGTTTATATTCATATTTACAAATTATTTACATATAAGATATTTGTCCGAGACCAGCTCAGTAAAGTTCATTTAAAAATGGATAAAGAGAATTTCATTGTATTTAGTATAAAGTGTTTTGTAAGTTAATGTGGAGACTTACAAAAGGAATTTCATTTTTAAGAAAACTAGAATTACATTTTTGCACATTTGGCACCATGACTACTATTTCAACATTCTTGAAAACCAGTATTAAACAAGTTTCTTAAAGGACAATGCTGTTGTGGACCAATTATACTTTTGTGATAAGTTAATTTGTTTCCCAGGCCTGCAAATAACGGTTTTAGATGTACCTGACAAAATGTCAGGCACTAATGAAATAGCACCTGAAATTTTCAAGTTAGTGCCAGACATGTATTAATAATATCAATAAAAAAAACAAATCAGTGCCGGACAAAATGACAGGCACCAGAGGTTTAGTGCCTGACAAAGCCTGAATCTGTGCCTGACATTGTCTGTGACAGATGCCTTATTTCCAGGCTTGTTAAGTTTCCAGATATGATTATAAAGTAAAGATATGTCAGTAATGTCTCCAACAGATTTTACCAACTCCCCAGAACACTGTACCGAGTGTCTGCTTAATTAACCTATGGTGGTAATCAGGCCCCGAGTTTACAAAGTATTCTCAGGCTTAAGTTGAGAATTTACTCAACTTTCAATCACTGTTTATGAGAAATATCTTTGATCCAGAAACACAAAACTTTCCACATAATTTCTTATTGATGTATCTGATACATTCAAACAACAAAATTATTATAAAGGGCTATAATATTTTAGATAAAACAAGGCGAACAAGTTTGAGTAAATTCTTAACAAAAGTCCGAGAATGCTTTGTGAACCCAGGGCCTAGGCATGAGTTAATGAAGGACACCATCTGATTCCCCACCATCTCTCTATTTATATATGTAAAAAATCCAAGGGAGGTAATAATCAAAGAAAAGAGCAGACAAGACTCTGTAGAAACTAAAGTTGTTTAATCCATAAACACATTTCAAACATTAGCCCTTCATTAGTTTCAATCCAGTCTTGTCAGTTTATTGCTTGACGATTACAACTTTCGGATTATTTCAAGGACCCATTTCCTTTTTTTTTACCCCCCCCCCCAATTGTATCACTGAGAATCACTTTTGTCTTCACTATATCAGTGATTCGTTCGCAAACTTATAACTGTAAATTAAGTTAGGGGTTAATTCTTCGTAGCTTCAGAGTTGATATATTAAGCGCATGACTGTGACTTTTTTTTTCTCCATTTAATATCACTAGTCCTGCAGATTGTATTACTTGTATCAGTCTAGTCTGTAATTGAGACCATCACTGTTTATGTTAAAGTGAAGGTATTAACAATGGGTGGGATTTATGCCTCCAGTAAATATCACCAACTCTCCAGATCGTCGTACTTCTCTCTACGTTTAACTCTATACCAGTATGTACCTAGTTAATATAAAATAATACATAGTTTATTATTCATATGTAACTCAAAAACAGTATGTACCTAGTTAATATACTATAGTTTATTATTCATATTTAACTTAATACCAGTATGTACCTAGTTAATATAATATAGTTTATTATTCATATTTAACTTAATACCAGTATGTACCTAGTTAATATACTATAGTTTATTATTCATATTTAACTTAATACCAGTATGTACCTAGTTAATATACTATAGTTTATTATTCATATTTAACTTAATACCAGTATGTACCTAGTTAATATACTATAGTTTATTATTCATATTTAACTTAATACCAGTATGTACCTAGTTAATATACTATAGTTTATTATTCATATTTAACTTAATACCAGTATGTACCTAGTTAATATACTATAGTTTATTATTCATATTTAACTTAATACCAGTATGTACCTAGTTAATATACTATAGTTTATTATTCATATTTAACTTAATACCAGTATGTACCTAGTTAATATAATATAGTTTATTATTCATATTTAACTTAATACCAGTATGTACCTAGTTAATATACTATAGTTTATTATTCATATTTAACTTAATACCAGTATGTACCTAGTTAATATACTATAGTTTATTATTCATATTTAACTTAATACCAGTATGTACCTAGTTAATATACTATAGTTTATTATTCACATTAACTCAATTTTGGTAATACCTAGTTAATGGAAATTTATGGATGGATGAATGGATAAAGAAATTAATGAATATATGGATGTATGAATAAAGGGATTGATGGATGGATATAGGGATTGATGGATGGATAAAGGGATTGATGGATGGATATAGGAATTGATGGATGAAGATCAAGGGATGAATGATGGATGAAGAGCTAATGGATGTGGTGAGATAGATGGATAAGTCTGTGGAAGAATGAAGGGATGGATTGAAATTGATTACTGGATGATGATGGGTGAACAAGTGGATGATGAGACAAATTTGTATGGATTGATAGATTGTATTATTCTTTATGTGACTAAAGTTTTAACTTACTTCATGGGGTACAAAGCCTCTACGAGCTAACATATCTGTCAGATGATGAATTGATGAGATAGGACATGGTGACGCTTGATGTCTATTTTTAAACATCTGCTGCCATTCCATGAATATATAGGGTACGTGAATCGTGTTAAAGAATTGTTTCGATACACTCAGAGCTTTACATTCATAACCCTCTGAAAGAGACAATTTATATGATAAATTAAATTACAAATTTCCACCATCAAAGCATGGGTTAGACAGGGATATGCATGGCTCCTAACAACGTTTTAGTGAAGTCATTGTGGTAATGCTATCTTCCCGCTATCACGATTTGTGGTACGATTGAAATCGTGGATTAATCATGGTGATCCTATCAGGTCTTATAATATATTGAGGTCTGTCGTAGCAATCTTGTTGATTGTATCGAAACGTATCTGAACGTACCAGATCAAGGGCTAAATAGGGAGAATCCTATCGTAATGCATCACATGACAGTGGGAACCTAGCATTAAGGAGTTCCCATGTTTAAACCTTATGTTGGTCAAGATAGTTCACGGGGGTTAGATGGTCTAGTGGTTTAATGCGTGCAGGGTGAAATCACAAGGTCACCGATTGAGTCAAGTGGCATGGTTTTTGATTCCTCACTTGAACGTGACAAGGAGCAGGGTAGCCTGTCAAACCATGTGGGTTTTCTCCAGGTTCTCCGGTTTCCTCCCACTGCTAAAGACCCATACGAGCAAGCGCATTTGTTGAAATGAAATTGAACCATGTGTTAGTCCCAAAATGACCTAGTTTGTGTCACATTTCTAGTGGTTTATCCACAGTTTTGTGCAACGCACACCAAGAACTTGCCGTAACGGACCGTTTCATTGGCTAATCCCTCACTTCAACCAGATTGCTGGTAATATAACAACTCTTCCAAGATCCTAATGTAGACAAGACAAGTAAAAAGACTTTAAACTATAAAAAATGAAACAAATTAAGATCTGCGTTTTAATCAGATAGAATACAAAGCCAACGTACCAATGTCAATCTTTATAATAGCTTCATTTGGCGTCATCACAAACAGGAGATCATCCAGAGTTATAGTGGGAATTGTCTCCCCTTCTTGTACATTTTCTATAACTTTTATACCACCTTGATTAGATTTATTTACAGACAGAGAAACGTTCTGATGCCGATTGGACATCGCATTTTTTAACAAATTAACGCTATCTTGAAAATTATTCAACTGAACCCCTTTGTGGAATCTTCTAACATTTTCTGCCACAGGTTCCACGGCGATTACATTATGTCCCATTTTAGCAGCGAGTAAACTAAAATATCCAATATTGGCGCCAATATCTATGACCACAGCATTTGGATGTTTCGTTAACGCAATTTGAAAAACTTTAGTCAGGTATGGCTCCCAAACACCTCCCGACAACAAAGCACCGGATATGTACTGATCAGCTTCGGGTTCGTAAACACATACGGGAAATCTTGGAGCCGTTTTGGAAACAGTGCAGTTAAATCCTGCATCATTGACCTTTGACCTCAAGTCATGTAGCTGAAAATACGATGGCAAGTTTGCTAGGTATTCTTTCACTAACGATAGTCTTCGGCGTCCAATAGAAGAAGCATGTAGATCTAGTATTCTAACAATTCCTTGATCGGATGGACTTGATGTCCTGGATATAGTAGAATGGATTAACCAGACGTTGTATAAGCAGAAAAATAATATGATGAGGTAACAGCCTGAAGAAGAAAAAATAGAAAATTTTATATCAAAAGCAAAGAGAGAGAGAAATGGGGTTTAACGTCAACTTGACACAAACCAGGTCATTTCGGGCTTACACTCCGAAAAAAAAACTGAAGTTGGACAGACGACCCTTCTGCTTGTCACGTACAAATGGGGAATCAAAACTATGCTATTTCACTCAATGATGAGTCAATGACAGACCTTATGATCCAACCAACGTGCACACAGTAGTGCTCATTGGGTCACTGTGGCTCCTGTAGTACTCACTGAGCCACTGTTGTTCCTGGTGTATTCACTGAGTCACTCCTAGTGTACTCACTAAGCCACTGTAGCACCAGTAGTACTCACTGAGCCACTCTAGCTCATAGTGTACTCAATATGCCATTATAGCTCCTGTAGTACTCATTGAGTCACTCTAGCTCCTGGTGTACTCACTGAGCCACTGTGGCTCCTGTAGTCAAATACAAATAAAAAATAAGTAACAACATTTAGTAATTGAACACATTAAAACAAACACAACGAGTCTATGAATAAACAATTACTGTATTTTAAAAATTTAAGAAAAATATAAATTAGTATTTCTACATGTGTAAATAGACATTTTAATATATGTAAATAAGAAGTTTTATTCATTGAAGTCAGAATATTACTGTGAAATCTGGTCGAGACCGGATGGGTATCTGGACCCTCAGACCAACTGTTTTCTTTGAGCCCCCATCACGGTGTACGTATTTTGTAGACTGAGAAACCTTTCCCGAACACCATTCACAGATTATTTTTCTCCTCTAAAATAACAATCTGATTAAAATACAGATCTATATTTCGTTTTGTTCTTTTATACTTTTGATGGTCTACACTACATGAAGGTCTGAGCAGTTGTAGTGGAAGATCACGTCAGGGGTCTTACAAGTGGCTTTTGACCCTGTAGTGGTTTACCAACAGTTGCGTGCATCGCACGCCAAGAACTCGTCGTAACAGACCGTTTCAATTGACTTATCCCTCACTTCAACCAGAACGCCAATAATATAACAACTCTTTCGGATCCTAGTGTAGTCAAGACAAGTAAAATGAAATTTTGAACTATAAAAAGCGAAACGAAATAGGATCTGTGTTTTAATCACACTGCTAAATTATGTCAACTTATAAGTGTATTGTTGATAATCAGTTTGATTGCTTGATACTTTTGAAAAAAATAAATGTGCGATTAATTAATATGTGTCATCTATTTATTTTGGGATTTCGGCTAGGGACATCAGCCTCACTGTTGGCTTGTTCTCCTCTAAATTATGTCAATTATTTGAGTGAATCTGGGTCAGTGTAAAATTATGAATGGTAAATCAACTATCATGTATAAAGTGATCATCTTTCACTATGTTTATTATGACTAACAACAACCATAAAAATTATTTACTGCTAGTTCTTACCATCTGTTGTTAACCTAATGTTTACTTTTCTCATTATACCTGCAGCTTTTGATGGTTTCTTATTTTAAAGAGGCACTGACACTAATACTAATTAGCAATAGTAATAGTACACTTTTAACATGCTAAACTCCATACACTAAGTATATGCTCATAAGGCTACAAAATGTCTAATGACATTATGGTTTATGTGCTATAACAGTTTTATGTCTCATAGTATTCTTTAAACAGGTGTGGTTTTAATAAACTCTTGAATTGCAATAAGGTTGGTAACTTCTGATGGTAGTTTATTTCAAAATGTTGCTGAGTTATTCTGGAAAGATCGCTGTCCAAATAATCATAATTTAACTTTTGGGGGACACAAACTAAGTTTTTAGCAAGCTCGGAAATAGGGCATATGTCATAGGTAGATATCGTTAGGCACAAATTCAGGTTTTGTCAAGGCAATCACCCTGGTGCCTGTCATTTTGTCTTTTTTCAGTGGGATTTTTTTTTTTCAACATGTCTGGCACAAAGTTCAAAATACCAGGTACTAGTTCAACAGTGGCAGACGATTTGTCATATGTGTTCGCTTGCCCGCCCCGCGATCCAGCGGGTGCACTCTAGAACCAGATTCTTGTCTCAGATAACTGGAAATGGCATATCTGAGCTTCTAGTTTTCGCTCGCCTCTCGTGCCCCCCTCCACCCCTCATCCATTATCTCTGGATCCACCCTTGCGCTTTAGATCATACAGTCTATCGTTGTGTCAAGTGTCTTAGTTTTGATTCCAAGGGGTAGGGTTGTTTGTCTAAACTCATTCATTTTCTACAGATTCTCCAAATTCTTCCCACTACCAACACACACACACACTCTCTCTCTCTCTCTCTCTCTCTCTCTCTCTCTCTCTCTTTGTGCTGTTTATAGACAAGTGAATTAGGTATTTTGAAAAATCTGGGCACATCAGAATAATGCAAGTTCTTCAAGGTTGGTAACTTAGCACAAGTCAAACAGTTACCACCCGATTTTGGAAAATATTACAGTTTCTGATTGCCAGGGTCAGGGTAAAATAATTCAGATTTTTGAAACTTTCTTGCTTTCTTTTATAGTACAAAAATAGGAAATATGACTTTTTCGTCACAGGTCATGAGATGTAAACAAGGCTAGCGTTAATCCCAACCCTAACCCTAACCTACAATCTTGCCAACAATCATGTGCCCTAACCTTATTTACATCTCAGTGACCTTGACAAAAATTGAGCTGGCCTTAACAAATAGATTTTGACTGAAATCCATGTGGTCCACCTCCTTTAACAAGGCTGACATTTCTTGCAGGAAATGTTGTTAACTTTAAATCAACATTTCTTTCGTTCTACCAAATGTTATGATCTTTATTTCAATCCGAGGTTGAGAGCTCAAGCAATTCCTCGATCTCTAGCTGTGAATGAAATTACATTCAGGAAATACTTGGCTTTCACTGCGACCGGTTTCCGTTTGATTAGTGTAGAATGTAGAACCTAATCATTACCATCAGGATGAGATAAGGCAATCAAGGGGTCACTAGAATTGATTTCACCAGAATCTACAAAAGTACATTTATATGTAGGAGGATAATATTTACCATAATAATTTGAGTACCGTTATATAAGGGTACTAGTACAAGAGTAGTAGTTGCCTTTTACTTGCTATATAACTTGTTAAGTCAAAATTTAAGTTTCAGTTAAAGATACATTATGGGAGATTAGATAAAGAGCTGGCTGTTCTCACTATAATAGTTAAAAACAAGATAATGAAAAGGGAATATGCTGAAAATTTCAGTCAAATTATTCCACTCTGGACCAAGATATTAGTGCTCAATCATCATTTCTAAAGTCGGTAATATAAATAACATAGTTTCGATTATCCATTTCATGTTAATAAATGTCTAATTAATAGTTTATATAACATTTCAGGCCCAACGAAACACTTGCAATACTCAGATTTAGCTCTTGCGTAATGTATGTTTAAGCTATTCATTCAAATTGTGCAAAATTGATGTGTTTGAAATAACTTATTTAATGCCTGTTTCATCTGGCCTGCCATTTTTTTCCAGGGGAGGGGGTATTCCTAGTGAACCCTTTTATGAATTTTAACAAACTGTTAATAAATGTCTAATTAATAATTTAGATAACATTTGAAGCCAAAATAAAGTCCTGCAATAGGAAGATTAAACTCTTACATAATAGAGAGAGAGAGAGAAATGGGGTTTAACGTCCACTCGACACAAACTAGGTCATTTCTGGACTAACATATGGTTTAATTTTATTTCAATAATTCGCTTGCGCGTAGGGGTCTTTAGCAGTGGGAGGAAACCAGAGGACCCGGAGAAAAAACCCACGAGGTTGGACAGGCGACCCTACTCCTTGTCACGTACAACCGGGGATTCGAAACCACGCCAGTCGACTCAATGACAGACTTTATGATACAGCGCGCGCATGCTAACCATTCAGCCATCCAACCCCCCCCTTACATAATAGATGTTAGATGATCAATCTGACTACATTTTAAATGGAAATTTGATATTTTCTTTAATTAAAAAAGGCGTCAGGGTGGCTAAGTGGGTAAGACACTGGCTCGCTAGCCTGGAGGTCGGTTGTTCGATCCCTGCATTGGCCTAGAATGTTCATAAGGATTTTCTGTTGTGGTTTCCCCTTGTCAGTAATGCAGGACGCAGGGCCTGACAAGGACGGCTGTCTAGTCATTTGGATGGGACGAAAAATATGTTTTGTGTACACATTGGTGTGCACGTAAAAGATCTCTTGGCAGTAGGAATTCGATATAAAAGTAGGTCATAGTGCCGCTGCCCAGGCAAAATTTAGTCTCATAGAACACTGTATGGCATATGCCTGTCTTCATTAGCCCAGTATAGGAGCAGAACATTAGGTCTTTAAACCCCATTTCATTTCTAAGGCCATTAATTAATGCTAATTTAATATTGATGTAATGTCATAGTTAAACAATTAAAATAAAATCAATATGGCTTATTTCTTGTCTCTAAATTCTTTGAATGGTTTTGAGAAATAATCTCATTCTGGGGAATGAAATATTTATTATAACAACTCTGCATGAAGACATTTATATTGAGATTATTATCAATTTTAGAATTAATGATAACAATTCATTATGGCAACTTAGATAGTGTTAAGCAAAATTTCATTCATTTGTAATCAGCTTGGTTCTTAGTACTGTTGGCTATTCATCATAGATCATAACACTTGGTTCAGTTAGTTGTAGAACTTTATGTAGATACAGTAATAACAATTATAACAGACATTACACAGAACCAGTAATGGGATTTTGCCCGTATATTCCGGACATGTCCGACGCTATTTTCTGAACTTCCAAAATTGTCCGACCGGGAATATGCGCAATCGGACATCAAGATATGGTGAATAATATTCAAAATTCCAAAATTAATATATTGTACTGAGTGTATAACTACCACTCAACCCGATTATCGTTAATAATAGGCTGGATTGATTAGGTAATTAAGTGATTAACGTATTTATCGTGTTATACTGTCTATACACCCACCTTGATTAACTATTTAATCTGCCATG